GATATCGTCCTCTTTTGGAAGGCCAAACAAAGTAGTTTCGCTTTCACTACGAAGCACATAGCTCCTTCACGACATGGCGGCGGCAACAACAATACTACAGTGAGAATAAAAGTTACGCCTTCTTTCTTTGCGTGAACATTTGGGCGGCATTATGCAAATCTTCCCACATAGCGATGTAGATATGTGGGGTCGTGTTAGAACGAGCCGTTTTAGGTAGGCGTGGCTGACTATCTCTTTGAATTTGAGACCTTAGTCTTTGCAACTTTACAGATCTTCTTTATGCACCAAGAGCTTGTAACACTCCAAAGAGAAAGGAAAAATTGAAATCGCATCATATGACCCCTTTAATATATTTCAGGTTTCTTTGATGAATACAAAGATGTTTTGTTTTTTTGTAACAGTGTAAATGTCTACTGTCACTTGTGATCAGTTTAATGCATTCGTGAAAGTGTTTTTGGGGAAAAAAATTTTTAAATTTTAAAAAAAAAAAAAAAAAAACCTTACTGACCTCAAATTTTTGAATGGTGTTTTTTTTTTGTCTTCAAGCTAGCTAGTATAAAGGTTTGCAGCTGGTTGTCTGTTTCACTCTCTCTCTGTGTGTGTGTGTGTGTGTGTGTTTTTTTTGAATGAGTCTGTTGCTGGTCTCTTTAACACAGAAGCATGTTCTGGAAGGGAAATGCTCAGTGCACAATATATTGCCTGGCTGCCTCTCCTCCTGCGGCTTGTGGAAAGCTCTGCAAGCGGGTGGCTTTGATTTCCTCTTGCTGTAAAGCTAAATAGAGAAATTGCTGTCAGATATACAGAATGACTCCAACAAAGCAAAATGTCTCCCCAAGTGCCTGTCTGTGGTGATCTTTGTCCTAAAGAGCGTTGAAAAAGGAAGCTAATGTATTTATACGTGTGCAGCTTCAAAGGGCTGGATCATGATTTTGCATTTGAGTCCCTCCACAAACAAATGCAACGTGACAAATGACAATCATTATCCCTGTGTTTATGCCCGTGTGCAGAGATTATGGGTTTCAAGTAGATTAGATTATGGGACAGGATGGGGGATTGTACAGGGATGAGTAAAATGGGAGGGGTGTAGTGTGGTGGGCAATGAAAAAGATGAATGAAATGAGCCATTGATGGATTGAATGATGATTGATGGATGAATTATGATTGAGTAATACACTCTCAGAAAAAAAGGTACAACTGGGGGGGGTAACCTTTTAAAAGGTACACTCTAAAGCAATGGTCTCCAAACTCTGTCCTGAAGTGTTTAGCTCCAACTTGCCTCAACACACCTGCCTGGAAGTTTCTAGTATATCTAGTAATGCTGCCTTCACGCAATGTCGTAATTACCGTAATTCTGATATGACAACATGTGATATTCTACTCTGAGCTGAATTATGTGTTTCTATGGCAACACTATCAACGCCAAAGCCTTCACATGCTCCAGAACTCGTAATTACAACTTGTAAGCTCGGAATGGTCTGGGAGCTACGACTTGGACCATGTAACAGCTGTACCACTTGACCACCACCAGGTTCATTTAGGCGCTACCTCTGAGTCCATGGACAGCTCAGAGTAGAATGTCACATGTTGTCATCTTGGAATTTCGGTAATTAAGACATGGCGCGAGGGCAGCTTAAGACCTTAATTAGCTGGTTCAGGTGTGTTTAATTAGAATTGGAGCTAAACTCTGCAGGACACTGGCCCTCCAGGACCGAGTTTGGAGACCCCTGCCCTAAAGGGTGTATATTGGTACTTTAGAGGTACATGTTAGTACTCAAAGTCGACATATTCATACCTTTTGAAAGGGTACCGCCCCAGTGACAGCTTTGTACCTTTTTTTTCTGAGAGTGTACAAGCCAAAAATGTTTCTCCAAAAATTGTAGCTGTGTGTATATATGAATTGGGGTGGGTGGGGGTGTTGGGTACACGTGTTCCTCCACACGTGTACCCAACACATACACGTATGTAATCTCTCTGTTGTCTGTGAGCCAAACACAACCCTAAATGACTCTCTTTCTCTCATTTCTTCTTTCTCCCTGCAGCCACTAGCAGTACTAAACTGGAGGAGCTGCGGTATCTGGATGAACAGAGGAACGCTCCCCAGCGCTCCTCCATGCGTTTACAGTGGCATGGAGCTCATACAGGGGGCCGCAATCAAGAAACTAAAGGTGCTGACTAACCGCTACAAATTGCTAAATTAAATGTAAACAATATAAGTAACTTTTATTAGTACATTTACCCTGTGAAGACTGCATGAAGCAGCAATGCATTTAACCTCCAGAATGTGACATACATCTGACATATATAAGAAGCATTTATAAAGAAAATAAATAGGGTGTTTGGGCTCCATTTTATGTTTTCATTTCAAGCCATTCAAGGCCTTATGATTCATTCTTGTGATTCATTTCATTTGAAATATGTTCTACATTGATTTGCCTGTGTGAGTTGTGTGTGTGTCTGTCTGTGTGTGGTTTATTTTAAAGGGATAGTTCACCCAAAAATGTTAATTACCCCATGATTTACTCACCCTCATCCTAGGTGTATATGGCTTTCTTCTTTCAGACAAATACAATCTGAGTTATATCAAAAAAATAATTTGGGGGTTAAAGGGTTAATAAAGGCCTTCTGAGCAGAATCAATGCATTTTTGTAATAACAATTTTATCCATATTTATTTAAACCGTAATTTCGAGCTTCCGCTAACTGTAGTACGCTTGTTTATGAGAGCGTGGCGTTCCAGCGGATGGCGTAGGACGTAGGCATAGTGTAAGCTCTGGTGAGAAGTGACGAACGTGGAAGCCTCTGAGCTGAATTATGTGTTTCTATGGCAACACTATCAACGCCAAAGCCTTCACATGCTCCAGAACTCGTAATTACAACTTGTAAGCTCGGAATGGTCTGGGAGCTACGACTTGGACCATGTAACAGCTGTACCACTTGACCGCCACCAGGTTCATTTAGGCGCTACCTCTGAGTCCATGGACAGCTCAGAGTAGAATGTCACATGTTGTCATCTTGGAATTTCGGTAATTAAGACATGGCGCGAGGGCAGCTTAAGACCTTAATTAGCTGGTTCAGGTGTGTTTAATTAGAATTGGAGCTAAACTCTGCAGGACACTGGCCCTCCAGGACCGAGTTTGGAGACCCCTGCCCTAAAGGGTGTATATTGGTACTTTAGAGGTACATGTTAGTACTCAAAGTCGACATATTCATACCTTTTGAAAGGGTACCGCCCCAGTGACAGCTTTGTACCTTTTTTTTCTGAGAGTGTACAAGCCAAAAATGTTTCTCCAAAAATTGTAGCTGTGTGTATATATGAATTGGGGTGGGTGGGGGTGTTGGGTACACGTGTTCCTCCACACGCGTCCCCAACACATACACGTATGTAATCTCTCTGTTGTCTGTGAGCCAAACACAACCCTAAATGACTCTCTTTCTCTCATTTCTTCTTTCTCCCTGCAGCCACTAGCAGTACTAAACTGGAGGAGCTGCGGTATCTGGATGAACAGAGGAACGCTCCCCAGCGCTCCTCCATGCGTTTACAGTGGCATGGAGCTCATACAGGGGGCCGCAATCAAGAAACTAAAGGTGCTGACTAACCGCTACAAATTGCTAAATTAAATGTAAACAATATAAGTAACTTTTATTAGTACATTTACCCTGTGAAGACTGCATGAAGCAGCAATGCATTTAACCTCCAGAATGTGACATACATCTGACATATATAAGAAGCATTTATAAAGAAAATAAATAGGGTGTTTGGGCTCCATTTTATGTTTTCATTTCAAGCCATTCAAGGCCTTATGATTCATTCTTGTGATTCATTTCATTTGAAATATGTTCTACATTGATTTGCCTGTGTGAGTTGTGTGTGTGTCTGTCTGTGTGTGGTTTATTTTAAAGGGATAGTTCACCCAAAAATGTTAATTACCCCATGATTTACTCACCCTCATCCTAGGTGTATATGGCTTTCTTCTTTCAGACAAATACAATCTGAGTTATATCAAAAAAATAATTTGGGGGTTAAAGGGTTAATAAAGGCCTTCTGAGCAGAATCAATGCATTTTTGTAATAACAATTTTATCCATATTTATTTAAACCGTAATTTCGAGCTTCCGCTAACTGTAGTACGCTTGTTTATGAGAGCGTGGCGTTCCAGCGGATGACGTAGGCATAGTGTAAGCTCTGGTGAGAAGTGACGAACGTGGAAGTGTAGAGGAGAGAGCAACAAATAATATAACTCTGATTGTATTTGTCTGAAAGAAGAAAGTCATATACACATAGGATGGCTTGAGGGTGAGTAAATCATGGGGTAATTTTCATTTTTGGGTGAACTATCCCTTTAACACCTGTGTTGTTTGAATCCTGCAGCTCGTCTCACGCCCTACAAACCAGTGGACATCATGCTCAAACCCCTGCTGTTTGAGGTGCCCAGCGTCTCTATGGATGCAGTGTTTGTGGGTCGGGATTGGCTGTTTCAGCGGCTGGAGGAGGTGCTTACGGGGGGAGGAAATGCCGGTGAGGGTAAAGGGGCCGTCATCATAGGTAACGTCGGTTTCGGAAAGACAGCAGTGATCTCACGGCTGGTGGCTCTCAGCTGTCATGGTGGACGAATGAGACAGATTGCTTCCAACAGCCCTGAAGCTACACCCCAGAGTAAGATGTCCCTTTAGGAATAGATTAACTTTTTGTATTTACTCCTCATATTGCAAAACTATGTGAAAAAAAACATTGTAACTCAAAAGTAGAAATTTGAAGACGTGCTGGTTTTTGATCTCCGTATTATTAAACTTCTGGATCACATGGACGCGAGGCTTTCGATGAATATGTAAACTTCAACTGAGATGTGTTAGTATCTCAGATTTTCAGACCGGCAATACCCATATGCATTGAATTAATGTAAAATAATAGGGGAATTGTGTGTGTTTGTGTTGTAGATCGAGGAGCTGATGCTCATCAAACCAATCAGCTGAACCCCCCCTCACAGAGTCCCCTCCACAGCAACAGCTGCCCCCCGACCCCAGACACACAACGGCACAGAGAGGGGGCAGTCAAACGCCTGGCTAGCAAGGTAAACACTTTAGCCTTATTTGGACAAGACTAGTTTTCCCTAAGAAGGTCAGGTAAATCCGTGTTACACAGACATACTTGTCCGTATCGACTTTGAAATAAGGAATAAATTACATGAATACATAATATATTAAAAAAGGAAAACATTTATTTTAAATTGCAATAATATTTTACAATATTACGGTTTTACTGCATTTTTAAAAATAATAAAAATGCAAATTTTTAAACTTTTTTGTGTACTATTTATTATTTATTTGTTTCATTCCAACTTTCTGGGTAAAATAACAGTTGATATTCAAGTAATACTAACTGGCATTTCATTCAGTGGAAAAATAATATTAAATCAATAAAGAGATTCCTATCTCTGAAACAGCTTGGAATGGCAACTGTAGTCGCTGGTTAGATTTGATCTGCACTTTAATTAATTGCTTTCCTTAATTATGTGAATAATGTTCTATATACTTACTTAATAATGTTCTTATATTACATATATAATTATTGTTTTTTTTTAATGGGCTTCGTGACACACATCCAAAAATGCCCACGTCCAGACAATAGACCCTTCTTTTTAATTACGTTTTTTTTTCATTTTAAAAATGGAAGCTCTTCAAAAAATTTTACAGCAAAATAAAGAGATTCCACCGAGCAGCTCTCATGTTTATTTATAAATACACATGATGTTTTGTGCGATGTTTTAGATGTGTCATTCTGTGACAGAGGCAAACTCCATGCCACTTGCATATTCAACACTTTGCTCTGTGTGCCAGTATGTGCGCATGTTTTTCCATTTACATCTGGACCTGAACCTTCTCTGTTGAGTCTTCTAGTCACGTCTTTTTAATCAGCCATCTGTCAGTGGAAAGTCATTTCAGGCCACAATTTCATTCTCACTTCTGTTCAGAAGCTTGAATTCGCCAGTATTTCAGAACGATTTGGGACTCATGATATTCAAACAAACCTTAAAGGGGTTATATCATGAGGAATTAGATTTCTCTTGATCTTTGAGATAAAAGAGCTCCATGTGCTTTGAAAACCTACAGTACTGTTACTTTCAAAACCTAAAACTTCCTCCCCAGTGGAAGAGCATTTAAATTAAGCTCCAAAATAGACTCCTGCTGTAATCCTGTACCTTCTGCAAAGATAACCATTTCAACACATGACTGCCCACATTGACACATTAATGACGTTTATTTGGTGATCAGAATCTTGGTGTGGAAATAAGGAGAGAGCAGGTTTGATCCTGTAACAGTGTAACGCATGATTTACAAAGAGCAAAGAATAAAAGGCAGAAAGAAACAAAAACGCATTGCCCTTTAAAGGAATTGTTCACCCAAAGTTGAAAATTATCACCATTTACTCACGTATGACATTGTTCTGTGGAACAAAAGAGGGATAGATTTTGAATCTGAAATTAATATAAAAGTATTCCATATGACTTTCCATATTCTGAGGTCATATTAGCATTGAAAACAGACCGAAATTGAATTCATTATTCACTTATAATCTTCCCCTCTGCTGCAACTGGATCATTGAGTCATTGAGTGAACTGACCTGAACCGGATCATTTAGAATGATTAAGAAATCATTCAAAATGTTGCTAACTGGATCAACCAATTCATTTAAAAAGATCTGAGTCAAAAGAGTGGTACATTCATGAAACAGCCATTTCTACTTCCCTCATGAATGCACCGTGGAATCAAGATATATAGATTTTCAGTGAAAATCAATTTCGGTCTGTTCCTCATCAAAGCCATCATATGACTTAATAATATAGCACACAAGTCACGTGGACCATTTTTATGGTACTTTTATGGTGCTTTTTTGTCACCTTGGAGCCTTGACCAATCCAGGGCTGTGATTCCCAAAGCATTGTAAGCAAAAGTAGATCATAAAGACCATTGTTGCTAATTGTGTCTATCTACTTAGGTTTGCAAAGCTTTTTGGAGACTGAGCCCAGAGCTGTCAGGATATTATTTCTCTGTTTAATTCGCCCTTTTGGGTTCCATAGAAAGAAAGAAAATATGAGTAGAAATTTTTAGACATTTTTGGGTGAACAATCCCTCTTTCCTTTTTGTTTTCAACCTGTCCAAAACTCCTATTTTCAATGTTTTCCCATCTGTTTTCTGTTTTTACCTCCTTCACCCCTGTTTCTTCTGTTGTAGGTGGTGGCCTATCACTATTGTCAGGCTGATAACACATACACATGCCTGGTCCCAGAGTTTGTGCACAGTGTGTCCGCATTATTGTGCAGAGCTCCTCGCCTCAATGCTTATCGAGAGCTCTTGCTCAGAGAGACACACCTGCAGAGCCTGCTCAGCTTGCGCTCCTGCGTCCAGGACCCTGCCGCTGCCTTCCGTAAGGGAGTCTTGGAGCCCCTCGCACTTCTACGCAAAGGTGAGATGCATCACATGCTACTGTCATTAATCACACCATCACATAAAAACTAAATATGTTTGCTCAGGGGTAATGGGGGGAGAAGAGCGCTCTTGCCTCATTTAATTTTGCCCAGTACGGATGTGAACAGATGGTCTTCAGAAACGGCTTGGATCACAAGGAACGACAGATGAAGGACTTAACAGGAATTTTAGAGAATGAGGCTAGAGCAAATTTCGAGCATGGAAATGAAGACATAGAACTGTCACTCTGAACTCTTGACTGAAAATCAGTGTTCCTGGTTTGTAACATCAGATTAGAGAGAATCGAGAAAAGTAAAACAGCCTTTATATTAATAATGTTGGGTAAAATTTATTACATTTTATGACAGTTTATGACAATGGGTTTATTTAGCTGTTTTTTTTTTTCTTATATAGTGCAGATCATATACAAGATGAGCCAGTCTCAGTGTCTCGTGAAACTGCACCTTTCACATGTGCTTATTTTTTGTCATGTTTTTGATTTGGTAGCTTATTGTGGTGAATATTCCATGTGTGAAAATTAGAGAAAAACTTTAGACATACAAGATAAGCAGGTAAATTTTTCACTGAGATAGTCAATGTTACTTGTCGGGTGTTTCTTCCAAAAAGGAAAAGAAAAAAATTAATGTAATCGTTTGTCAAAATGTGGCTTTGTGGCTGTTTTCAAGCTAGGCTGTGCTGGCTATTAGTTGGTTTTAATATTAATTTGTAGCCCAACAACTAATTAGGCATTGTTTTAAGATACTCTTGTAGCAAATGCAGCATAACTGTAATTATACCAGTAGTTAATGTAGTAATTTAATTCTGATTAATAACCTCAGTGTAATAGATTTTTTATTGTGGAAATATTAACAAATAATGATTGATTTGAAAAAGAAATGTTACTTTACTATAGGTGGAGATGCTTTCAATAGTAACCATGAACTTCAGCATCCATGTTCCAATAAAAAAAGCTTCTCAAAATCGGCTGTGTTTCAATCCTCTGAACTGACTGCTGAATTGCATTCAGGTTTTCTTCTATTCTGGTATTGAATGCCCTAATTTCATGATCCAATCAATTGGTGATCGATAAAATCAGGTCCTGCCCTACATTTTTTTTCTTGTTGAATATCTTATTTCACTTTGAAAAGCATCACAATATGGAAGTAATTACGTTTGCGACTTCAAAGGAATAATTCACCCCAAAATTAATATTGTGTTATCATTTATTCACCCTCATGCTGTTTCAAACCTGATTTGCTTTCTTCTGTGGAACTCAAAAGCAGATGTTAGGCAGAAAGTTTCATTTACTCTATACAATGAAAATGAATGAGGATAGGTGCTGCTTAGCTCCAAATATGAAATATTTTTCATTTGTATGTGAATTATTCCTTCAACAAATTGCATTCTGAAGAGTGCAGCTATTTATCAAGTGGCAAGTACTCAAAAATTGTGAGAGTGAGAGTTTCACTACAGACTGTAGGCACTTTTTCCTACTCAACATATGGTGAAAGAAAGCAGCATGCAGGGTTTTATTGTGCTGGTTGTTCTAAAGTCACCTAGTACATGAATTCAGCAGTACACATTGTTCCTGTTAACTTTTCAAAAGAAAAACCTGAACACACCCACGTAATGCCAGGATACAAACTCTTAACAAACTCAGGGCCCACAACGGTTAGTTCATCTAACCATGTAATTTCTGTTGTGCAGAGCGGAAGATTCCAGAAGAAGATTACATCATCCTAGTGGACGGTCTTAATGAGGCAGAGTACCACAAACCAGACTATGGAGATACCATAGCGACTTTCATCACCAAAATCATCTCCAAATTTCCTATTTGGCTTAAACTGATTGTGACCATCAGGGTCAACGTAGTGGTAAGTTTTTATTTTTTTTTGCATTGACTGCACTTTGGCTAGACTATTTTTTGCTGGTTTTAATACGAAGTAAGACTACTGAGAAGGTTTTTAATCCTCAGTGTCCTGATGTGCAATCTGAGCTTTCAGAATGGTTGCAGTGGTGAGTTTTGGATGCTGGTCAGTGGCTAGTGTTGTAGGGTGGGTGTGTGTAATCCATGTTTGATCAGAGCTGGACTCTGGCCTGCAGGAACCAAGCTTATATAAGAGGGGATAAGGGCTGTGATGCAACACCGCAGATGCTACGCATGTCCCTATACACTTTTCACACACGTACACAGTCTCTTTCTCTCTCACTCACTACTTCTCAGAGCAGTGACCTAAAAGTGCCAGACAACCCACACAACCAGGCTGCCGGTGTTTATTCTACAGCATTAATCCTGCAGTTGTTTTGAATTGAAAACATTTGTCGTGATTTGCATACAGATGATGATGAGGATGTGCAGTAAGATAAAAAATGAACAGACTTTTGTGGTCCTTGTAGTATTCATTAATTTTCCCTCTTGCAGTCATCTAGGGCACCCTGTTGTCAGTGGTTACAGCACAAAACTGTAAACTGAAAGGAACGATAATTATTCAAGAGAAGAAATAGGAGTTCTTTGGGAAGGCTGGTGGTCGTTACTCTTGTGCTGTGGTGCAGAACAGCCAGTGAAGGTTCATCCCTTAAAATCCCAGCCTTTTTTCATATTTAATTGCACGTCTTTCCATTGCAGCTGGCAGAAAGCTGTATTACCAGTATCTGAATTATGCAGGCATTGTCAAAAGTGGCCATTTTGTGTAGTTTTGATGTTTTGTAATTTATTGATCAACGTCATGTGGTGCAACCAACATGATGTCATAGCGAGGACCCCTGCAGACCCCCATGACTGTGTGTCAAGCCTCTTTATAAATATCAGATAATTTGTTTAACTTTTTATGACATGGCAAGGTTAGTTAAGATTGTAAAATGTCATGTGGTGTGACCCCCCAAAAACTTATTTTTAAATTCATAATTTGTGATATTTATAAAAGATACCTTGAAAAATACACTACCAGTCAAAAGTTTGGAATATTTGAGATTTTCTAGAAGAAGTCTCTTATGCTCACCAAGTCTGTATTTTTATTTGATCAAAAATACAATAAAAAGTGTAGTATTGTGAAATATTATTAGAATTTAGATTTTTTTATTTTATATATTGCGAAATGTAATTTATTTTTGCTGCTTAATATTGATGTGGAAACCGTCACCGTGACGGTCATTAAACATTTCTTAATTTTTCTTAAAAAATGGTATAAAGGTTTCTCAAAATCAAATGAACATATCAACATAAATACAAAAGTACATTTTCAAGAACTTGTATTTTATTTAATAACTCATTAGGGTCTTTGCGTTGGCTTTTTTGTTGATCTTCTGACAGGAAGTCACCAGTCTCTTCCCCTTTCCCATCATCTTTCTGGATGATTTCCATGACAACAAGGATATAACCTCTGACCTCACCTCCTACATCCAGCACCGTATAGACCACAGCCCTGATATCCTCAGCAACATTGCCATCAATGGCAAAGCCGACCCAGCAATCATCTCTAAACTCAGTACCCACCTGGTCGCCCGCAGCCAAGGCTCATATCTTTATTTAAAAT